AGGTACATTCATTCACATCTGAGGACAAAGCCAGAGCGTCAGGCCCTCCCTGCACCCACTTCTCATTGCCTGAGGATCCCACCGTCAGTACACATGCCACCACCTGGTGACCTTCAACTTCACCCTCAAAGCACATTACAGTGGCCTCCCTACAAGATGGACATGGCAGAGACCATGGTCTCCAGTTTATAGGTGGCAAATCCAGGAGGGAAACTGGGTCATGAGGGTTGAAATTCCTGAACAAGGACTCCTGCCTATTCCCTCCTGACTGCTGAACCAGGTCTCCTTCTGGGAACCAGAAGTCACAGCTCTGGCCTAACTCACATGGGAATTGTTATCACATCCTGCCAGTATAGGGGGTGCCTTCAGGGGTTCAGAAGAGGCATTTTCACCACCCCAAGGAAAGTTTAGGAAAGGGAAGGGTCTGGGGGTGCTCACAGGGACTCCACAAGGAAACCTCAGGCCCAGAAGGCCCTGCCACCGCCCTGCTCTGTTGCAGGACTTTTCGTGGAAGCGAATCCTTAGGCAGGGCCTTGGCAGGGAACCTGAGAATCTTCTTCTGCCTTCTGGGGCTGTGAGACCTATGTTGGCTCGTGCCCCAGCTCCATCCAGTCCAACCTCACAGCATCCTCCTGGGGCCTCTACCTGTGCACAGCTTCGGGTCCTCCAGGTCGAACTCAAATCCTGGTGGGCACGTGCAGGTGTAGCTGCCATGGGTGTTGACACACTTGCTGCGGCTTTTACAGATTCTGGGGTTCGTCCATGTTTGAAAGGGGAAGGAGAGGGTGGTGGATGCCTGCAGCCATGGGCAGCCTTCAAGGCTGGGAGTCAGCCACGTTTCCTGCCATAGAAGCGTCTGAAGGCCCCACTGCCTCCTCCCAGGCGAGTGATGCCTTTTCTAATTCACATGGAGGTGTCCTGTGGGTGAGCATGCTGGCCTAGGTGCTCTGTTGTCCAGATGTGGACAGAAGCGGTCCAAGTCCTCCCTCTTACTCTCTCCACCACCCACCCCATCCCAACCTATCTCTGGGAAGCTCCTAGCTAGGGCAGGGATATCACTGTCACCTGTGTCCCAGCCTGAGGACTTGGGCAAAGGCCAGGCTGGGCCTTCCTGGAACCAAGGGCGGGAGAAGTGCTGCAGGCCCTCAGCAGGCTCGTTTTTGTGGCCTTGGTCCTGACTCCCGCGGGGTGGGTGCTGTGGGCTGAGCTCTCCTTGGAATCCTGGTGAGTCTGCTGAGACAGCGCTCTCCCATCCACACAACTTCTGAGACTCCAGCCCATGGAGATGGACCAAGAACCACCCTGAGCCTGACCCCTCGCAGACAAGGCTTTTAGGCCGGGGCCCAGAATGTGAAAATGATGCCAGATAGGCCAGGGCCACCTGGACAGTGGGTGCCAGGGCCATGAGGGCAGTGGGGCTGACATCCAGCCATGCAGTCTTGGGGTGTGAAGGTGCCCCTTCTGATCCCCCTGAAGGCATCCCCTGGACTGGCAGGGAGTGATGAGAATCCACATGTGAGCTTGGCCAGCGGTGGGCAAGGGCTGGGTGCCTGGAGCGG